GATGGAAGGAAAAACAAGGAAACAGAGGTGCTATTTTATTAGATGAATGATATTGCTCTATAGCTCAGTAAACTGCCAAGCAGAAATGGCTGGGCTAGCTTTTAAATCTCAGGCTAGCTTTAATAAAAGCAGGGTGGCAAGGTTACATGCCTTGCCTAGCTTATCCTGCTTTGGCAGGATATTATGGTCTATTATCTGAACTAGCTTGTTTAGGTAACAGCATGCTAAGGAGCTGGATTTCTAGTATTCCTAAGGAAAGCTAAGAAATTTAATACATTTCTGTGACCATAGGGAGGGGAGCAGCTTAAGACCAGTTTAAGGATACTGTTAACAAAAGAATGGATAAATATAAAATCTTTTTAAAAAGAATAAGAAGAGTGAAATTTCTAGAAGAATCTACTAGGGGTATGTTCTATTCCTGTCAGTCTGCATTACTTGTGAGCAATTGGTGCTTAGGACCTGGCACCCATACTGTAAGCATTTCAGGGTTTCTTTTTCTTTGGAATAGCTCTAATTTGGTTGCATGAGCTGAACGCCTATTTGCAGCTGGAGCGCATCTTCCAGTTTAGTTTCATGTGAAAGGAATTCCTTTTGTTTACTCAAGACTACTCCATCATGCAAACCAAAACACAAAGCATTTGCTTAAAAAATGCATTCCTGATCTGGATTAAAACACTTATGTATGTACACCTTAAAAGAAGGAGGAGCAGCAGCAAAGAAAGCTGAAAGATTTCAAGCTGCTTGCCAACATGACAGGTTTGTTCTGTGGAATCGTTCAGCTGTGGTTTTCTGCCTGCTTCAAAAATTTCCAAGCTCTGGCTCCATCTTCAGGACATGATGATAGCACTTCTCTCTATGCTTTGAATTGATTAGCCAAATTTTTTCTAAAGCTGAACTCTATTGTCTGACCTGCAAGCTATGTGAAGCTGTGATCATAATTAGAGGCACTTTACTCCTATTCTAAACAATGTTATTCTTTTACTTCCTATTTTAGCTATTAAAATTTACCTATTAAGAGCTGTTGTATCTCCTGTCTTCACTGAAATATAATTGCAAAGGTGTTCCTTGAAACTGAAATGACAATATCCTCCTTGATGTTATGTTTTGTATTCAGTGAAGGGTTTTTAAACTTAGTTTGTAAGGGCAGACCTATCCATTGCTCCTAGGAGATTACTGTACAATACTAAGAAAGCAGACTGAGTACTTCCAAGTAAAACAAGGTGTTATATGTTCTATTTGTGTTAGCGTAAAACTTGAGGGTCCCACCTGGCTTTTGCTAGGCTGGCATTGAAAAAGATACACAAGCACTTCCTGAACTATCTGTTCAATCTGCAGCTGTCTTCAACAGGTCATTTGACATGTTCTTTCCTTTTCATGTTTGAATGTTTCTCTACAATGATGTGGAGATAAATTACTCACAATATGCTGCACATTAGAATATGAAGTGCACAATAATCAGTATGATGGAAATAATCTCATGATAGCTCCCATTCTAAAATATATCATAATCCTTATGATATATCCTTCCAACCTTGTGCGGAGGATTTCCCCTCGTAGGTTTACGTTTCTGACTCAGCTTTCATTGTAGCTTTTACTGCTTTTGGTCTGTCAGTTGCCGTAGCAATGTTTAAATGAAGTGTTCAGAGCCTGCGTACTGCTAGGGTATTACGGACATTCCACGAAAGTGTTCTCTGAAGCAGACAGTTGTCTATCTTCCATCATAAGCTACTGATCAAAACAAGATTTTGTTTATGTATGGTACTGTGACATTTTCCTAATTTAATGAATATAAGCCTGTGATGCATCTCAGTGCTTTTAGGTTGCTGTTGTGAACTAAGAGGACTAAATTTTTCTGGTCAAATTCTTAAATGTGATTTAAGTTCTTGTGACACAGCATAATATTAATTATTAATCTCCTAAATTTCTAATTCTTCAGAAAACTGATGAAGCCTCTTTAAAGCCTTACAATGCAGGATCTGGTATATCTCTAGCCACACTGTGGCACTGCTGGAGCAAGAGTGACTTAACTTTTCTCTTCTTTTTCAGCTGTTATTAATGGCCTCTCCAAAATAGCTACACAACAGAAAAAAACAGTGTATCTCTGCCAGCTTTTGACAAGAATTGCAAAAGGAAAAACACTTGGTAAATATTCTGAATTTTTTTCACTTCACTTTTGCTTAAGTAGATTATTTACATGAACTTCTTGTGCAAAGATTTATTTATATGCTTTTATGTAGCTTTTACTAAGTATATAAAATGACTGAAATATCTATGCTTTCAAACTGTTTATATTCCACAGGTGACTGAACTGTATGCAGTACTGGTGTTAATCTATGCTGACTGGTTTAATTGCTTTGAGTTTGAATGGCTATGCAGTTTTTAATCTGTCACAATAGCATCAACAGAAGAAATGCATTGAAAAGATTGACTAGCTCTTAGTGTGCAATATCTGCAAATGTAAAGTTCTGAGTCTGCATTTCTTTCTGCCCATATAAACCTAGAGATTGAAGTATGAGAGGCAGTAGGTGTGAGAACATGGATGAAAAGGATGACTGCCTGCCGTCTGTACAGAGGGTCATAACAGATTCACAGACAGCAGCTCCTTTGGACCTGTATTCACTACCCTGTCTTCTTTTTGGCCATGTTCATGGCCTATTGGTTTGGCCAAGCTGATTCTGCTTTCGTGCTCAAGTTTCTGGCAGACTTAAGTTTTCTCTGCACGTTCTTACCGCTTGATAAAACTCAGTGGAATTTAGGGACTTCAAAAGCAGTCTTTCCAGGATGAGCAGGGAATAAAAAAGATGCGTTCTAGCCTAGCAGTTCCACAGAGGCTTGTGATCAAAAACCAAAAATTTCTTGTGTTGATTGTCAGGCAATAACACTGCTCCTTTTAACTGAACTTCAGAATCACTTTGTATTGTTTAATTATAGTGACTGTCCATCACATACAAATTTTGAGAAGTCTCTGTCATTCGATTAAAACTGTTATTATTCTGTATTTAACTTTGGAATAGGACTTGAATGTGCATTTTTATCTATTGCAGTGTAGGGCGTGTCCTATATGGGGAGGAAGATTCCCTGCATGTAGGTATTATATCAGATGTAGTTGCACAATGTACGTGGCAAGTTTATCTATTGTATGGTAGCTTTCCTAATTAATTTCTGATGATTAAAATAAGATTTTATAGATTAAAGATTTAATCTATATTGAGCTTTTTGCTGTTTGAGTTATTGTACCTGGTATCAAATACTTCAGATTTTCCAGTTTTACTGAAATTATTTACCTTCTGTCTAAAAATTAAGAAGTTCCTTACTGTAAGGAATGAGGAGAAATAGAGATTCTTCTATGATGTCATATAAAAGAAAGGAATAAGAGTGGCTGTAGCTCCATGAACACCTTGAGCTAATCTGGCATGGCCATGGAAAGAAGCGGTTCTGTACACCTGCCAGCTTCGCATGCATCTGTGTTTCATCAGCATACCCATTTGTGCAGATGTGTAATGATCAGACTGGAAAACTTTGCAGAGTGAGGAAGGGAAGGCTCTTTGGCTAGATTTCTGCCGGATCTGGTTACAATCCCACTTGCTGGGAATTTGCATAAACGCTTACCTTGGCACACTGGATGAGGTGACATGGATGGTTACTTCTCCTTTCTTTTTTTTTTTTTTTTTTTTTTTTGGCAGTGCTGAGTTGCGTTCCTTGAATATCCCTCTCGGTTTAACCTGCTAAAAAAGTAATGAAGACATGGTAATGTAGAGATGCACCCTGGAAAATGAGAATTCTGAAAAACAATTGTATTGCAAAATTTACAGCAGTGATAAGAAATACTTTGATATCTGATGCCAAGCTTATTGTAAAAGTATTATTAATGCCAGCCCAAAGCTAAATTTGGCGCTATTGCAAATGGTATTTTAAATGAAAAATAATTAGGAGACAAACCTCCCTTAAAAGTGGAACAAAAGAGTTACTAGCAAGGTAGGAAGAAACAGTCCAACAGTCCCTCTGAAAATGAGCAAATTAACTCACTTCTCTTAAATACACCTGGAGAAAGAGGCTAAAATTCTTTGAGGGGGGAAAAAGCAACTGAAATGATGTAAAGTATGTGTGACTTTATTGTGCATAAATAAAAAATGAAGCGAAGTATATCTAATTTTTTTTAAGTATCAAGTGCTTTCTAAATTTTTTTTTCTCCTTAAGATTGTCATTTTGAAAATGATCAGAGAATTTCACCTTTGGAATCTGCTCTGTCAATTTGGACTTTAATTGAAAGGGAAGACAGTAAACATGATAAGCTTCATGAAGATATTCGTCGCTTAATTCAGATTCAGGTCTGTGTGATTTTTTTTTTTTTTTTTCCTCTCAACAACTGTTAAGGATGCTACCTATTTGTTCTACTAAAACAATTCCTTTTACTAAAAACTTGCACTATCAGTAGACTGAACTGAATTTTCAGAGTTTGTAGTTTCAAGTACAATTTCGATAGGAAAGGATTCCCCAATTCATGTTGATTCCTTTTTGTCAGAGTTTGAAGTTCTTTCAAAAGCTGCCACTCTAGGGGAAAAAATGGAACTTCAGTTAATTGAAATATCAATTTCAAAAACTTGTATTTTGACATTTAAAATATATTATGAATAGCTTTAATTTCAAATAGGATTTTCTGGCTTATGAATAAGTCTTTGTATTAGAAAACCTTCAATCCCATTTCAAAGAGAAATGTGTCAAAACTTACCTATTTTTAGTAGAGGTTTTTCTATTTTTGAGAAATGTGATTTCAAATAAAAAGTGTTTGAAAAATTCTGCGCTTGTTCTGAGCTTTTTCTAACTAAAGCTATCCCTTAAGACTGGTATGTGTCAAGAGTTGCAATGTTTCTGAATGGAGCTCTGTTTTGTTGTTCTTCCCTAATATACAAAAGTGAATGTAAAAATACTGCTGAGCTGGAGTTAGATAAGATAGGAGACTTCATATTTGGATTTTAGAACAAGTGCAGGAATTTCTTTGGAAATAGTTACAAAATAACTATGGCTTAAATAAGGGATGATTACCAAGTAAATATGAGTTATCATCTGGAATATTACGTGCATCATCATACATGTGCTTCAGTGCATTATTGAATTAAATATGTCATCTTTTTAACCACGTTTAGTGTGATGACTTGGTGGTTTTTATTACTAGTGCCAAACAGCAGGTTATTTAGTTGCAAGTGGGAGAAAATGACAGCTGTTGGGCCTGTGAAAGGCTTTCAGGTAAGGCTTCGTAGGTAAGAAAGGGACAATCTGCATCAATGAGGGTCCTTTTAATCTTTGAGAGATAAGTCTTAGGCCTTATGTACAATATTTAATATTACTTTAAAAGCTTTACAGAACTAACTGTAATAACTAGATAGTTGTTGCATCCCTGTTAATTAAAATCCTTTGGATTCTGGAAATCTAACAAAGTTGTGAAAGTATGACTTTTCTTGTGTTTTTTTTCTAAATCTCTGGAAAAATACCTTTCATGATATCTTGTAAATGTAACTGTCTTGCTTGTAGGTTGTAGCAGTTCATATGGAAAAAGGATATTTTAAGGAGGCTGCTGAAGTTCTTGAAAGGTTATTTACAGATTTGGAGTCAAATAAGGTAGTAACAGTACTTTGCATTGAGTTTTTCTTTTTGAACTAAAACTTTTTTTAAAAGAAAAGGTGATTTAGTGAAAATCTTATTTGCTATATTCAACTTGGCAGCTCATGTCAGGAGACAGTGGTATTTGAAAATAACTTTGGGCACAATTTGGTTAAACTAGGCCAAGATCTAAAGGTGATAATCTGATTATAAAATTCCATAACTACAGTGAGTACCCATGGATGTTCTGTGCTAGTGCCTTGCATTTCATCTTGTTTAGCACATGCTAAAAGGCAATTTGTTTTTGCGTGGATTCGGATGGCTAATATGACTGAACATTGCCTTTTCAGTTTGTCTTGGAGGCCAGTCAGTTTGCTCCAGGTTGGATAAAAATATTCATTTTGCAAAGAATCCTTAAGTTACATCTTGTCCAAATAAAAATTCTTTAACATATGAAGCTGTTAATAAAAATCATTTATAGTAGTTTTCTGGAATGAAACAGCCTGTGTGAACTGCCAGGCATTGGAAATGTTATCATTTGGTTGTCAGCTCCTTGAGGAGAGGGATAGGTTTCCTAAGGTAGTAAATACTGCCCACATAGCTTCATTCTAATTCTTGCCTCTTCAGTTACTTACACGCCTGTGGCACTTGGCAATACAAAAGGACATTTGGGGGTAAGGGGTTGACAGGGGTGGTAGATGATTTGGGGTAGTAACATGACTGCTTCTAGCAGCAGTTGCTCTTCATCATGGGCACCAGCAGTCCCAGCTTTGTCTCCTTTCCCACTCCATGTGAGAAATGAGTGAGGTGTCACTACAGTTTCTGGGAAGGTGGTATTGCTGTTTTCTCAGAGTAAAGATGGTGTAAATATGCTGATAGAGAGTGGATGAGTCCCACTGCTCTAATCGGGCTCCTGACTTTTTCTGAACCATTGCAGTATGCTCTGCGTTCTCCCTTGGTCAGTGTTCTGCAAATAGAAGCATCAGAAGGAATGAAAGCTCATTAGTACAGAGTGGATGTTGTTATACCTCTGTCTGGAAAAGATAAGATCTGTGGGTCAGAACGCATCCTGGTTTGATGTTCATCGCTTCATTCAGAAAGACAGAAGTTTGAGCACATATCTACTTATAACAATAGCTAGTGCACATGCTTGCATTTGCTGAAACCCATAAACCTACTTACAGTAACAACTTTAGTGGACAGTAATGGGGACTGCTTCTAGGAGGCTGAAAAAGGGTAAGAAGCAGATTTTATATAGGTGTAAGAGTTTTGGCCTGTTCTCTGAATATGTGCAATGTGGATCTTTTTGTACTGCATTAAGTTAGCCAAAACAGAGGACCTCTGTCAGTCCCCCACTTTTTCTCTTCATAATGACTGTATCATAAACTGTAGAAACTGGTACAACTCTGGCATTCTGTGGAGGTAGCAAGTGAAGTCCTCTACTCTGCTACACTTTTGAGAAAACCAGGGTGGAAAAAAGAGCAAAGGAAGGGTTGCAGGCAGCACCAACAAAAAAAAAACAAGGTGCTGCCTGTATCTTCCTCTCCTATACTAGGAGGAAGTATGTGTTCTGTGTAAATAATAGCACATGTGTATTACTTATTCTTCAGGTATACTCTTCGCTCAGAGGATTCAACTGTTCAGAAAGTGTGGGTTATAGTAATAGTATAGTGAAGAATCCCACCTGTACACAGAAGTTAATTCCTGGGTATATTGGTCTCTCTTTAGGATTCAGAGTGGTTTGTGGAGAAACTCAAGCTTCTAATTACAGTATAGATGTGCCCTTGATTTATTGTGATTTATTGTGTACCTGCTCAGAGTAAAATCTTGGTGTTACTGCTGGTTAACTCTACAACCATTTCAAACTGTAGCATGAAGGTGTATAGACTTATTCAGAAAAATGATATAATCACCTTGTTTATCTTTGTATAACTCTTCTTCAGTGTAGAAGAATGCTAAGATTACTGTAAAATGTTTTCATGTGCTATATAAAATTGTACATTCTTTTTAGCCTTTAAGGATGAAACTGGCAACCATAATTAAGAGCAAGGATCCATATGTTCCCTTTCTTCAAAACTTCAGCTACAATCTTTTGATAAGTAAAATAAAGTCTTATGTTGAACTCTTCATGAAAGACAGTGAAACTAACTTCTTAATACAGGTGTGTCAAAACTCTTTTCAAAACTGATTTCAAGAGGTACATGATAAGATTAAATGGATCGATACTTTCAAGGCAGTTGTTTAGGTGATGTTCAGTTATTGCCTTAGATGAAAGGGAAGCTTTATCTTTGTACGTATGATCTTAAGAAGGTTGAATATATGTTTAGGGAAGCTAGTAGGAATAAGACTCCTCTAAAACTTCATGAATTTTTTCCCTAACTGTTTTGCTTAGAAAAGTAGCATGAAAAAAAAAGACAGTTAAAACTGTGTCTGTCATTTGTGTGCATTTAAGAGGTCTAGTTCTGATCTGAGACTCCCTGAAAGATAATGTATCTATATGTATATTTATTTTTTCAAAAGCCACTAAAACTTCATATTAAAACTAAAAGATCTAGATTGGTTAACTTGGCTAAAAGCTATAGGAATGTCAGAGTAATGAGAGATTTAAAGCTATTCTTGCTTTTTCTGTAAATAAAAAGCTCCTTACAAACTGTATTGCTCAAAAGTGATTTAAAATTGCTAAGAACAACATTCCTCCTGCAGTTCATCTTCAGGAAGATTGTAAAGAATTTCCCTCATGTTTACTTGCTATAAAAGAATATTGAATTACTAAATTGCAAAAGCACAAATATCTAAAGAATAAGTAGTAAATTTTAAATAAACAAACCTGAAATTCCTCTGGGTTTTTTTCCCTTTTCTCCCAGAAAGAAGAATTAGAGAGCCTCTTTTTTTCTTGAATATTCAAAGTATTAACACAAGGATTTTTTTAATGGTCTAAACATATACGTATTATTTTATTGGGCACACTCAGCTGCCATTTTTCAAAGCCATTTTCCTGAGTCTGAGAAAGGGTAGAGGTTTGTGTCACAGAAGGCCCAGAACTCCACACTAGCATACCGAGGCCCTCTGTGTTACTCTGCTACTGCCTGCACATCCTTCCTACTGTCTTTATAGGCACTAATGTGGCAGATCTTTTACTTTTGAAATATTTTTACTTTAGTCTGAATTACAATTACTCTGAGACATGGAGGAAACCGCAGTACGAAGATTTCTCATTCTCATTGTACAGTACATATCACTGTTTCCCAGCATATGAACCCTGAATTCTTTACTACCCAAGCATGGCAAAACACTGTAACTTTAACTGTTCTTTCCTGCATGATTCTTCCTGGAGATAGATATAGATATAGATATATATATATATGTAGAAGTATAAAAAGTTCCATGTTGCCAGACCGTTTTGTAGGCTGCCTTTTCTAGGTGACTATCAAGCTTGGAATCTACAAGAGTGCAGCACCTACTGTTCATGAAGTTCTTGAGCTTCAAGAAACACTTAGGTTAGCTGCCCTAAGTATGTTCTGCAGATACTGCAATACAAAGAGATAAGATCTATACCAAATAAACATCAATCTAATTACTCAGTAAACAGGGAATGCTTTTTAATTTTTGATGTTGTTATTTAGTTTAGAAAGTAGATGTGAGGACTTTGAGGAACAGGGAAAATTTTATGGTACCTGAGAAATTCAATAAAGAGTAATGACCTTTTTCTTCCCTTCTGTCCTTCCCCCTTTTCGCCCTCCCCCACCTCCCACCAATGGAGGAGAAATCAGTTTAGTTTATGGCTAAAATAGTTTAGGCAGGATGTCATGAAAGTCTTTTTGCAAATACAGGGAAAGTTACCTTATAAGCTTAAAGTCTGGTAAGACATGTCTTTTGAGTATGTTGTAGGTTTTTTTGATCTTGCTACACTGCATTGAGTGGAGCAAGATGAACTCCTGAAATCTTAGTGTTGCGTTTCTATTTTAGTTATAAAAGACTTTGCAGTACACTCAGTGTTTGCAGGCTTAAGTAATCTCTGCAGTATATTTCACATATCTGTATGTTCTCTTACTGTGCAAGCATTCATTTTATTTCTTTGGGTGTACATATAAAGATTAGCTGTGGCTATGCCCAAAGTTTCTCTGAGCTATTAGCTGTTAAAAAATCTTGATGGATTTCAGCTTACCTCATTACAATTGTTGTTTTGAAACTACTTATTTTCATAGGATCCTCTGTTAAAGGGCCTGTGAAATAGGCCCTGTTAAGCCTAATAGGAGGCACATATATATATATATATCTTGTTGCTTACAAAGATTATTTTAGGTACTGGTTGGCTTTAATTTTAAAGTATCAACTTCATTTCATGCAGGCAGCCACAGAACAGGTGGAGGCTAAAGAATTAGGAGCAACAATGTTGCAGAAGGAACCTGCGAATGTCAATGAAACAAAGGAAGACAGTAATTTGGAAACAAATCAGAGGTTTGTATTCAGGACTATACTGCTGAGGGACAGCTTGGATAGTAACTGAAACTTCTAGAGCTAAGAATAGGTAGAAGGAAGGATGATAAATTCGAAAAATTATAGTTCAACAGAAGATGAAAAGTACAAACACATTCTCTTCTATTTTTAACTTTTGGCTTTTTGATTGTTGTTCTTGGCATTTACATCATATAGCTTGGTATTAACTTTTAAGTGTTTGTTGGAGATGCACATTTTTCAGTTTAAACATCTCGGTTTTGTATGACAATAAACTTTGAAATACTTCTAGTTTTTTCCTTATGCTTTTGCTCCGTTTAGTCCTATCTTTTTAATATTGGGCTGTATAGATTTTTCTAGAAAAGAAAGAGTACAGAGAAACAATCAATCTGTTATTCTTTTCTTTATAGTTAAGCCCTTTACCCGCTTCCTTAATGACACTAGTATTATAGGAGATAGTTATGTTGCTTCATAGGGAGGAAAAAAAAAAAAGAGAAACTGACAACTTGAAGCCTCAAAGCAATTACGCACTTTAAGAAATGCTGAGGGAAGCTGGAGCCCAGTTACTTTTCTGTTTGTTTTCCTTTGACTTAATTTGAAAAATAGTATTCTGCATTTATTGCTACTTGTTTTTCATAGATTGTGGTCTTTGTTCTGGGTAAACTCTAATTCTGCAGTTGTATAATATATAATATCATTTAGGTAAGGAAATTGACAGATGCAGATAAGAGTGTACAGAAGACAAATAATAAATTTTCTGAAAGGACAGTGCCTGACAACTGCATCTGAAAGAGGCTTAATGGAAGAGTTGTTTCTATAGGTTTTTGACCAATTCTTAGATTGTGAAGAAGTAAAGCATGGAAAATAGGTGCCTCATCTCTTCAACTTAAATACATTTAATGTCTTGTGTTTCTTTTCCAGATAGGGGGAGGGAAGTTTGAGTGGGTTTTAGAGAGGAAGGAATTGCTTCATATGTACAAGTTCTATGTTTTTCAAGGCCTTAAAAATTAGCTAATAGTAGAGTTGTGAATAAACCTTAACTGCTTCAGTACATTTATATGCCACTAGTTCCATAGAAACATCTTAAATTTGTTTTGTCTTCTATTTAAATGTTGTTCTATCTGCTGTCTAAAAATGGTTTTCTGGCTTTTTTTAAGCTTTATGGAAGAACAGAGTATTACAAATCCGTCACCTGGAGATGTAAGAAAACCCACAGTAAGGTAAAACGATTTTTTGCTCTTACTATTGGTCATACACATTCATGAAAGTTCTATGTATTTTTACTTCAGTTATGTTCCTTGCAGGCCTCACTCAAGACAGAAACACAGAAAAAGCAGTGTTCTTCAAAGTGAGTATTAGTCAAGTCTTATGCTGTCAAAACAATATGAATACTCTTTTTTCCAGACAAAAAGAGTTGGTGGTTTGATAACTGCTATACAAATAATGTTATTGAATTCATATAAAATAGTTATGGTGAAAACAACAATTGTTGTGTGTAGTGTGTGCCTGAATTCAAATTTTGGGTATATATACCTCATTTAGGGAAGTATGAAATGACTTAAGAGTCCCAGGCAACTCATCTTGAAAAATCCTTTACTATTTTCTGATATGCTTTTGTTTTATTAGGGTTATGATATTGTGTCCCTAAGAAGGTGACCAGTATAGTAGTATTGAAATTTGTCTCTCTTGGGCTTCTGACCTAGGTAACTCTGGGGAGAAGAAACTTGGGAGGCTGACTGGTTCATGGGAAAATAAATTCTTAGTGTAAGATGCCCAGAGTTAGGATGTTAAGGCCTAACCTTCCTGGTAGTATTTTTAAAACACTTAAATATTGCATAATCAATGTTGTACTTTAAAAGCATTAGTACCTTTTCAGAACATAAGTACAACATTGATTATGCAATATTTAAGTGTTTCCGTTTTCTCTATTTAAAATGAGTGTTATCTGTAGTAAAGATACTCATTCCTTCCATTTGGTGAAAGTATATCATTGTTATACCAGTTCTTACTTAATTGCTTAAAACATTCTTTTGTGAGCTCTGTCACATATAGAATATAGAGTCTTTTCTTGAATAAACTCTTTTCTGAGTCTTTGAACTTAGAGGAGATTATACACAGCTTTTACTACATATATGCATAAAGATGTAGACTCATGCCAAAGAATGTCAAAATAATGTACATACTTGTCTTATTAAGAATACTGTCTTAAGGCTGACTTCTCACTGGTCTGGACGTACTTCAATTGTCTTCTAGATCTGAACAGCTTGCAGAATGTAGATAAACACGCAGACGCTTGGGCTTGTGGCCGAAAAAGGCAGGTTTGTATTTGTTCTCTATTCCAAATGGTGATAAAACGTATCTGCAGTGCTTAGCAGTATAATTTTTTTTCCGCTATTTATTTGAATAGGCCTCTAAGGGTACAATCCAAAATGCCATGATTTGGAAATCTCTCCATTACTTAAGCTGTGCTACAGCCTCTAAGATGAGTCGTTAAGTTCTAATTGCTATCTCAAGGGAAAAAAAAAAAAAGAAAACTTGCATTTTTTTTGTGCAGCCTCAAATATTGTTATTAATGCTCCTGAGCCTTTAATTTTTTGAAATGCACTGTTACTCAAGCTTTGTTTGCATATTAAAAAAAATCCAAACCTTTTTTAATATGCAAACGTGACATCCACAAATCCATGGGCCCCAATGGGATGCACCCATGAGTGCTGAGGGAACTGGCAGATGTCATTGCTAGGCCACTCTCCATCATCTTGGAAAGGTCCTGGAGATCAGGAGAGGTGCCTGAGGACTGGAAGAAAGCCAGTGTCACTCCGGTCTTCCAAAAGGGCAAGAAGGAGGAGCCAGGAAACTACAGGCCTGTCAGCTTCACCTCCATCCCTGGGGAGGTGACGGAACAGCTCCTCCTGGAGGTCATCACTAAGCATGTGGAGGACAAGAAGGTGATCAGGAGTAGTCAGCATGTATCATGCTTGACCGATCTGATAGCCTTCTCTGATGGGATGACTGGCTGGGTAGATGAGGGGAGAGCAGTGGATGTTGTCTACCTGGACTTCAGCAAGGCTTTTGACACTGTCTCCCATCCCATCCTCCTAGGTAAGCTCAGGAAGCGTGGGCTGGATGAGTGGACAGTGAGGTG